CCTAGCAGAGGGCTGGGCACATAGCAGGTGCGTAGTAAAAGCTTATAGGACCTGGGTGTTAGTCTTGCATGATGGGTCCTCTATGCATAATGATCTTTGCGAGACTGCGGAGAAGTCCAGTCATCTGTTCCCTGTCCAACTAGTTGCTGTTTCTTGCTGGGGCACCAAGATAACCTGACCTCTTGGGCTCTGAGTTCTCAGGCCCAGCACTGGCAGAATCTCAAGCAGATGTCTGAGTCTATCGTTAGTGTAGTTTACACGCGCATGTGGAGCTGCACTGGGTTAGACCCTGGCCATGCCTCCCCAAGAGGCAGAAGTGCCAGACCCTGGGTTTAGCTTGAAAAATGCCAATACCAATTCCCCTGCAGCTTCTACACACACGACCACACCCACACCCACAACACAGGTGCATACAACACACAGAATGTGAGCCGTAGGAGTGGCCACAAGCACACTCAGCCCTCTTCTTTCAGTCCCAGGACCTGGGGCCTGGTGAAGGACAGGCACTATGACGGTCCAAACCAAGCAAGAGGGCAAAATGCTTTTGGTTTCATCTCTTCCTGTGGCCACTCCTAAGCACGCTGGGCACTGTTCCCCGCCTGAGTAAGCAGAGAGTGTTCAATACAACCATCGTGCCTTTTAATGATCTCAGACCTGGAATTTTTAAAAACAGCAGCTTCCATCCATGTGCCAGGCACATAACCAGCTGCAAGCAGAGCATACACCGGCAGGAGTCAGCCAGCAGCACAGTAGGGAGGTTTGGGACCTTTAAGCTCACTTTGTCCAGACATTCCGGATCCACGGATATTCTCATGTCTACAAGTGGTTCTGTTCTGTTTTTCATGAAACATTCAGTCTTTACAGCTAAATTTTGCTTTCCCCACTTTGGAAAGAGATGTGAGTTCAAGAAATATGTACTACTTATTTAACTCTATGGAGGAGAAAAAAGAAAGTAATCCACAGGATGGTGAAGTTCCACCTACAATGCCGATGTGCCCCAGTGCTATAGTAACAGCCTGCATTTACCCAGAACTTGCTGTGCACCAGGCACTGTGCTGCGCCCTTGACCTCTCCCAAGAGCCTCTTGAAATAGGCATGAATGCTGTGCTCATTTTAAGGTGGAAAAATTGAGATACAGAAAATTGAAGCAACTTTTGCAGATTCACACAGTCAGTGGGTGGCAGAGCCTGTAACCGGGCTGTGTGTCCAGGGCCCAAACAAAGCTAGTGACAGGGAACTAACAAGTCTTTACTACGTAAGAAGGGAAGAGCCTAGACCCTAATTAGGGCTGGGCCGGGGACACAGGGAGGTGTCAAATCACAAAACAGTCTGAGCTGGTGGAACCTTTGGAGGTGCCCTAAGTTTTCAGAGCCTGTTTTTCTGACTTGGGCATTCCCCCCCCCATCGAGAAGGCTCCTGAGTTTGCTCATCCTTCCTGAGACAGGAGAAGTGGTGATTTTGGAAGCTACAGATGGAACACCAGATGGGAAGTGAAAACCTATCAGAGTTGCCCAGGATAAAACCATTCATCTGCAAAATTCTTATGTTTTTGTGTGGGGCGACTGCACGAAAACAACAGCAAGAGGAACCAGCAGTGCTTGATGCAGAAAGGGCCTCTGGGCGCGAGGCTGGCAGAGCAGAGTGGGCAGAAGCATCGCGTGGGGAGGGCACGCACCAGGACAATGGGAGCAGGGAGAGGAGAGGAAGCGCAGCCCAGACCCACAGCCACCGGGTCACCAGAGCAAGAACGCCAAAAGGGTTATAAATATTATGACTCTCTTTTGTGAACCCCAGAACAAGCTGGTCGCCTGGACTGAAAGGATTTCAAGGACCTTCAAGTAGATACCAGATGCAGCCTCGGATATAGTAAAGAGCTGACATTTCTGGAGCACCTTCCAAGTGCCTGTGTGGTCCACTGTCCTATCCCAGTGCCACAGGGATGGCATGAACTTGCCAATGGTCTCTCTGTCAGTTAGGCAGCAGAACTCAAATTGAAACCCTATGCAGTCGGGTGAGAGTCTGAGCGCTCACCTTCTTGGGTGTTCCACAAAGCTGGACCCTATCTTAAGTGGCCACCTTATGGCTTCAACGTGCAAGCAACACAACACAGCACCTCTAGGGGGCAGCAGTGCACACTCCTGCCTAGCTTTATAATTTTGGCCACCATCTGATGCAGGCAGACATAAACTTTGAGGCCTTCGTGGAGTCTGGAGAAGGAAGAGTATGAGAACCATGGCCATAGCTCCTCAGATTCAGGTACAATAAGTGACCTCCAAGTACCCTCCCTTGATATTCTCTGCTGTAAGGTGGTCTAACCACTCTGATGCCTCATCATAAGCTCAAGGGTCTGAACTATGCCCTTCTGTATTTGGAAGGCAGTTGAAACTGCTGGTTTCCCAAGAGGTAAATTTCAAGCAGAAAGAATACCAACTGTGGAACCAGACAGAACTGATCTAATCCCTGTCCTGGCATGCACACATCACATAGCCTTGGGCTTCAATCTGTCCATCTGTAAAACAGGTTTGCTGTGAGGGCTGAAGGAAGTTCCAACCACATTAGCTGCTGGACACAGCATTTCAAAGGGCATTTCTGCTCTCAGTCCTTTCCTGGAAGATTAAGAGAGAATGTTATGGCTCTCTCTTGCCATTTACTTGTTTAAATGGCCATTTCCTTGTCACTCACCTCATTCTTCTATTATAATCTATTCATTAAAAAAATTTCAAATGCAACAAGTTTGCCTCTCACCCATCTTAAACCCAGACTGTTCCCTCTGTCAGAAAAGATGGCTTTCAACTGCAGGTAATTTGGCCCTCGGGAAATCTGGCAACATTTGCAGATACACGTGGGTAGGCTGTGCTATTGGCATCTAGCAATATACAAGACAGCCTACAATACACAAGACAGCTCCCCAGCAAGGAATTACCCAGCTCCAAGCATCAACGGTGCCATGGCTGGGAAATCCTGTTAAGACTGATCTCTTCCATGTTTTCCTGCCAATCAGTTCCTTCTTCTGTGTGGGTCTCAACTCAAGGTTGAATATTCCAAGGCCTTCTGACCTGCTTATGTCCCTCACGTTTTTCTCCACTTACGTGTCTTCCTTCTTTCTAGTCCTTGAACATTTTACCTGGTGTAACCCTTGCACAATTATCTAAAGCTCCCTTCCCGACTAGGACATGTGCTCTGTGAGACAGGAAGTGTAAGTTGTTTTTGTTCACTAATTGTCCAAATATTGCATAGCATGGTACTTGTTCAATAAATGTTTGCTGAATAAATAAAAAGTCATTGTAAGTAAAAATCTATGAGCGATGTTTGTAAAACAATCCTTTTTATCCTCCTTAGACTATGAATAGGTGTCTTCCCATGGCCTGTCATTTTTCTTAGGTTCCAGAGACCCAGGTATATCTTGTTGCAAAGTGATCAGAGATTGTGCCTCCTCTTAAACTCCCAAAAGGACCAGCGTCTCCCAGCAGATGACCAGGATGGAGAAAGGTTCCAAGGACCACACTATGAAGGAGAAAGGAACCATTTCCAGCATCACAGAGAGGCCTTCCTTCATGCCTGCACCTTATTTAGATCTTGACTCAAAACCCAAACTCTTGGGAAGCTGAGACTTGGATATTTGAGGGCATTAAAAATGCCTGCTAACACTGTGGATGTAACTATAATGTCGATGTTATGTTGAGTGGGAGACCTTCTGTGAGACACATGCACTGAAACATTTATAGATCAAATTGTATGATGTCTTGGGTTTGTTTAAGAACAATCCTGGGGTAGAGGGGAAGAGCTAGCGGCAACAAGACTGGCCAGAAACTGATCATAGCTGAGACCAGGTGACGTGCATGTATGCTTGCTGCTTTTGCAAACTGTTTGAAAATTCCTCTAGTGAGAGTTTTTAAAAGACACTTTTATCTAGCTCTCCTGGGAATGATACACTAAATGCTCACATGCGACCATGGGAAAGAATCCCCCTCATCCATTTCCTCTGCAGCCCAGTCAACAACTCAGGCAGGAACACACAGTCCAACCAAGACCTGCCTCTTTGATAGGAAGTATAATACACTTTCTTGTGTTTTTCTTTCTTTTCTTATAAGATCTGTAGAGGGGTTCTCTTTGCTTATGGTTTCCTTTAAGGAGCAAATTCACGTTCCTGCCCTTCCTGGGAGTATCCACAGGTTCTCATGCCCTTGATGGTGAACACACAGGCTGTGATCCCAGAGCGTGCCAATCTTCCAAAGCAACCAGAAATTTAACATTTTACATGAAATCTCCCACATCAAAATGTGGGCAATCTCTTCATTTGTCAAAATTTGATGAGGGCCAAAGCAATACACCGCAGACCTCAAACAGTGCAAAGATGCCCATTTGTGATCCTGCTTGGACTCTAACCACTGAGCTCCCATCTTCTCTCTGTCCCCTTTGAGTTTAACACCAAGGTCAGATCTTGTTCTTTCTCTGCTCAAAACATACCAGTAGCTTCCACCTTGTCTGGAGTAATAGCAAATTCTATAATCCTCATGAGCTGGTCCTAATTTACCCTCTGATCTTATGTAGTGACTTGCAACATGGCTCCTTATCTTACTCTGCTGTAGACACTCTGAGCCCTAACACTCCATTTACTTATTATGTTCGTTGTTTGTTTTCCAAGTGGTTTCAGTCTCTCTAGTGCACTGCTACAACCTCAAATACAGCTGGGAGAACAACGTGTTCTATAAATATCTGCTGGGCAAGCAAGTGGATGGACGGATGGATGCATGGATGGATAGACAGAAGGACGGATGGATGGATACATAAGTGATTCTCAGGACCAGCCTCGACACAATGTAGGGAAATGTTCTAGAGACAGTGTGTAAGCCCTTTCTGGTATCTCACGGAGGCAGAGAGTTTCTCTGGACAGGAAGCTGACTGTCTACACCTTCTGGCGTCTGTCTCAGTTATCATGGGAATAGTAATCGGAAACAGGATATGGGAGCAGGTAGGCGTGGGGCCACCAGCCACCTTACCTGATGGGATAGTCTGCAGCACTGAGGTTGATGAAAAAGTCCCAGGGCCAGTCAGTCATCTCCAGAAGGTCCCGCATGCTCTGTAGGTAGGTGGACAGGAGGCTGGCTCCCCCCCAGATGGTGGCCATTCTCCAGGGAGTGACGCGAACGTTGCTGTACTGCTTGGCGAACTGGAGCACTTGCCGATGCAGGTAATTAGAGCGCTTTACCCAGGAGAGAAAGGGTGACATTCAGCAGCCCAGAAAACACCAGCCACCAGACAGCTCTCAGCCCTTTCCTTTCTCTGTCCTTTCCCTCCTAGCTGACAGTACGTCTGAACATGGTGACTTCGTCAAATTACTGGTTCTGGTCAGTGTCTTTCTGCATTATTATTCAAACTTATTCTTTTGTGAAGTTTCACATTAGATGTTTGCAATGCAGACTCCTTGACCCCATCTCTCCACTAACAGCCTTGGCCCAAGGAGCCTCGAACTCTGCATTTTGATACACAACTGATGCATATAGTCTAAGGATAAGAAGCTAGGAAATATGTGTCCACCTAAGCCTGATGAATATTTGGGAGTAGCATTTCTATGTTCTGCTGTTCCCATGCAGGACCCCTCTGTTACCTTCACAGGCCTGCTAGGAGCAGGTCTTTCTCATGAAACATCTCTTTTACCTTCCTTACTAAACATATAATTATGTAATTCTGCTTGAATAAGAGAAAACTATGGAATAGGACAGTACAGGAGTGAGCAAGTTGGCTGCAGTTTTTGTTAATAAAGTTTTATTGGCACATGCGCATATGCACTTGTCGACATGTTTTCTGTGACTGCTTTCACACTGCCAGGACAGCGCTGCATAACTGTGACAGAACATATGTCTGGCAGAGCCTGAAAGATTGCCTATCTGGATTTCAGCAGAAAAAAGTGAGCCTGCCCCTGGGACAGCCAGTTCTACAATTCTGTGAGAGGCAAGGCACCAGGAAGTGAGGAAAAGAGGAGGGAAAACAAAACAGTTTAAAAGCAAAAATAAGGTTGCAGAGGGGGTGACTAAGGCTAAAAATAGTGAAGTGAATATTTCAAAAGAGTCTCAGAGGGGATTGTGAATGACCACACCACAAAGACATGGTAAGCTTTTAGGGCAATGCTGATGCAAATTACCTTGAACTGACCAGTATACCACACATACATACATCAAAATATAACACTGGATCCCCATAAAGGAGTAATAAAAAGGAAAGAAGAAGATAATGTTACAGAGAAAGTTAAAGCTGGAATCTTTGAAAGCAACAAACACACACAGAGTACTTTAAAACCATATGTCCTTGTGACTCTGAGCATTAGTCTGGACTTGGGCTGGAGGGATCAGAGAGAAGGCAGACAGACGGCAGAGGAAGCCCAGCACGGGTGGTGGGAGGTGGCTCCTCACCTTGTCCACATGGATATAGTAGAAGTGGTCTTTGTGGTAGATGGCCTTGAACATGCGCTGCAGCTGCCGAGAGGCACGGCCGTGCACCACCAGGACGAAGGCGATTCTGACTGGGTGGGCTGGCAGGTACTCCACAGAGTCCTCGTCCCACTGGACGTTCTTGTTGGCTTTGCCTGGGGGAACCCAAGACCACAGAGGAGAGAGTGAGGTTCGGCTGTCCTTTGGGAAGTGAGGCACTTCTCTGACATTTCCCCCGAGGACTACCCAAGGGGCACAGCAATCAGACTGGGGTCTGAACTTGACTCAACATAATGAAACCTATCCCAGACCCTTACCCTATGAAGCACAAAGGGGTAGAGGACCCTGCGGCGCCTGTGGCACAGCTTCTACCTCCAAGGAGCTCACACAGGCTGATGGACACAAATAGCCACATATGAAACCATGGAACATGGCAGAAGGAGAGAACTGTGGGAGATGGGGCTCTGAACTCCAAAGGAAGCTGTAGTTAACTCTGAGGTAGAAAATCTAGTTAACAATACTGTACTGTGCACTTAAAATGTGCTAAGATGGTAGAGCTCATGTTATCTGTCCCTGTAGCTTGGGACTTCCCATCATAACTCTGTACGGCCCTGGCCACAGTATTGTTCTGATGGATGTGTTACTCAACCATGAAAACTAGCCAATGAGAGATTCCACACTTTTGTTGGAACTACTGGATACAGAGGTTCTCTTTCTGCTGGATTTCAAACTGGAAGATCCCAAGAGCCTTTTTGTTCCCACGTGGAGAGGAACTGCAAGAAGAAAACCAATGCAGAGGAAGCATTGCAGAGTGCTGGCAAGTGTCCACAGCCTAACAACTGGCCCCGAGCTCCTGGACCAGCCACTGCCATGGATTATCATATGTTATTTTTCTTTTAAAACCAGATTCTACACCAGATCCACCAGGATAAATGGTTTGATACATCCTTTATCCTGAAATTGGCCTCAAGATGACTCCTTTCCTCTTTTCCTTTGCAAATCTTCCAGGGGCAACAGGTCAGGGAAAAACAGCTTCCTGTCTTAGTGTGTTACAATTCCAGTTCAAACTCTCCTGGTTTTCCTAAGCCCTATTTCCTTTGAATCGAACCAGATTTCTTCTGAGGTCTTGGTTCATGGGACCCAGAATATTGTCAGGGTATTTCTTCCCAGTGTCCCAGGATATAAACTGGAACACTGAGAATGCAGACCGTTTCACCTGGTGGGGAGGAGCCCAGGAGCCTGTCAGCTGCCATCAGAAAGCTGAATGGATACCAAATGAACAAGACTCTTTCACTGTTCCAGAGGACAGGGTGAGATTAATGTGGGCGAGATAAACTCTACCTTGCAACATCCCTTTTTGGGTCTCCTTGAATAAAGCTCATCCTGCCTCAGGACCTTTTCATGGTCTATTCCTGCTATTTGAGCTACCCACTCCCCAGATCTTTACATGGCTACATCATCTTGTCACAAGTTCATAGCCCAGAAAAAGAACAACTCTTCCCAACCTCCATGTCTTTTCCCCTCCCTGTTTCAATTTTCTGCATAGTGTTGAACATCATCTGAAATTGTTTCTCTGGACATTGTCTGAATGCTCCACTAGAGCATAAGCTCCAAGAGATGAGGGACTATTTCAGGCTTGTTTCCCTTTGCATATGTAACATTAGAACAGTATCTGGCACACATCTGGTTCTTGATGAAAAAAGTTACAGTGGGTCTGTACTGGCTCACTACAATCACAGTATCTTCTCTGCCCTTGATTCTTCTTATCTCATTAATCCTTATATCACTCCTGCAAGGTATTGCTATTATCCCATTTTTCAAATGAGGATACTACAGCTTAGAGAAGCCAAGGGATTTGTTCAAGGTCACACTGATTTAGTTAAACTGAGATTCAAACACAGGCCTTATTCCAAAGATCATATGCTAAACTACTAACATAACCCACATCACTGTACCTAGAACATGGAAGGAAAAGTTTACCACACTGATGAATATTAGGGAATACTTTATAAGTTAACTAGTGTAGATATGTAGGTATGTGGTTAAGGGCTGTCATAGGTTGAAGGGAGGTTTTTTATATTTGATGGGAGGCTAACTCTAGCAGTCAAATAAAATTACCTCAATCTATCCATTCATCCATCCATATCCATCCATCCATCCATCCATGCATCCATCCATCCATCCATCCATTCATGCATCCATCCACCCATGTATCTATTTAGCCAAATGCAACCACCCATCCATTCAACCGTAGCAAACCATCCAACTACCCATCCAACAAAACATCCAATAGCCTATCATGACAAATATCACCCATCCATTCAAAGCTTATGAGATCAGCTCTTACTGTGCCCTCAAGCCATGGATGTCTCTAGCCAAAGCTACTGAATGAGCGAGTGAATGAGTGAATGAATGAATGCATCCAGAAGACTGGCCACTCTGATCCAGAGGTGCTGATGTTCTCTGAGGGCCTGGTATGCATTGTCACTCTTGGTAGAGCTGTGCATCTACCATTACTTGGCCCTGGTAAGAATGTGTTACTATCCTTTAAGGCCCAGAGAGGTTGATGTGTCACACAATGAGGACAGAAGTGGAAGCAGAAGCCAAGCAGCACCAAGTCTAAAGCCACTCTGCTATTTCCACTTGCCTTCTGCTGAAATGGAGAGTTAGAAGGCAGGCCCGGTCTCTACGAGACGTGGACACTGATGTGGAGAAAAGCCTTTTGCAACTTCTCTTTGGGGTCTTAGAAAGCAGAGCAGGTTCACAAACAGAGGCATGGATGCTTTTCTTCCATCGTAAAGGCAAAGAAGGCTGGGAAGTCAAAGACAATCACTCCAGAAAAACAGCTTCTTCAGTTCACACAAAGTCATCCCTGGGTCAGATCATTGGTATGGGATGCTGCAAGGAAAGTAGAAATGAAAACTCCAAAGTTCTTCTGCAGTACAGCTGCTGTCAGGAAGGCATGGGTGGCAAGGAGCAAGCACATTTTCAGAAAGAGGACACACACAGAGGGCATGATGGATATGGGAAAGAGGCCGAGGACAAAACAAGCCAGGAGGAGAAAGACCAGGCATCTATGTAGTGCCTTTGTCTGTGCATGATTTTATTCACTTTCACCCAAGCTGTATGGAAAGGAACTGTCTGAGGCCCAGGAGATCCCCATTAGGAAGTAACTGAGCTGAAAATGGGGTGAGTCTGTGATCCCAGAATCCTGTCATTGTCACTATGCTCCTTCAAACAGTGCTCATTTTATAAAGAGGAAACATTTGTTCCTAGAAGCATATTAGTTGACTTTTAGCTGCAGAACAGACAACAATGCCATGTGCTCAGAGCTGTCCCAGGTCTTTTCAGACATGGGACTCCTTGAAAATCTGAAAGCCTAACACTACCTTGCTAAGAAAGAGCTGCAAATTTAATAGTGTAATCAGATTCTCATGGCCCAGAACAGAAACTAAGTGGGAAAATCAGAGTGGTGAGAGGCAGCAAGAGAAACTAACTTCAAATGAATGTTAAAAAGCCAAGTTTATGGGGGGAGAATAGCAAGTACATTTTGCTGTGCGGGTGTAAGAGCTGGGACGGGGTCATGGTGAGAACCTCTGGTAACTGGCTGTGCCTCATAAGCCTCTTAGTGCAGCTCTGTTTTTCAGTATTGCTGCAGGTCAGATGAAGACTACGTAATCCCGGGCTCCAGAGATGGTGGAGATAAAGGGACTTTGTAGGGGTCAGTGTGACAGTCCCTTCTTATCTGTAGTTTTGCTTTTTGAGGGTTCAGATACCAATAGTCAACTTCAGTATGAAAATATTAAATAGAAAAATTCCCAAAGTAAAATGAGGTTTCAGATAACTGTAGTCAATGTTAGTGTAAAATATTAAATAGAAAATTTTGGAACCAAAATAATTCATATGTTTTAAATAACTTTTGTTACAGTACTGTTATAATCATTTTATTACTTATTGTTTTAATCTCTTCCTATGCTTAATTTATAAGTTGCATGCTATCACAGATATGTGTGCGTAGGAAAAAAAATTTAACTATCAGCTCTCCATATCTGTGGGCTTTGAAGCTACGGATTCAAAACAATGATGGGTCAAAAATATACTGAATATGTGCAGACATTTTTTTCTTATCTTTATTCTCTAAACTAGAAAGTATAACCGCTATGCATTTATGTCATATTAGGTATTAAAAGTTATCTAGAGGTGATTTAAAGTCTATGGGAAGATGGTGCATAGTTACATGCAATTACAACACCATGTTTTATAACGGATTGTAGCATCCACAGACAGAGGAATGACTGTGGATACAGGGTTTGGTGCTATCTATGGTTTCAGGCATCCAACTGGTGTGTTGGGATTTATGCCTGAGGGATAAGGGGACATTGACATACAAACGTGGTATCAGAGATGATCACAGTTGTGGTGCTTTGTGGGAATATGGCCTGAGAGGAGAAGCCAAATGCAAAGGGTTAGAGGGTTGTCTCTGGTCAGCAGACCATATAACCTTAGGCTGGTTACAATCACTACAATTATAAGTGGACATGTAAAGGGGTGATGAAAAGCCATGGTGAACGTTTAAACTTTTAAAAAATTATTACAGTAAAAGATGAATTGCCACTAATCCCTTCAAAATACTCCCCATCAAACACACTTATCCCATTGTTCTTGCCACTTTCTGAAGAAGTTCTGGAAATCCTCTTTCATGAGTGTCTTTACATGTGTATTTCATCCTCTTTCATGAGTGTATTTATCAAAAATACAGTGCATGCTGCTGCTGAGTGCCATCCATCAGAAAGGAGGGCTTTAAAAACATTATGGTGTGTCCTCACTCACTGGATCTGACACTGTGGAACTTTAGGTTTTTCCCTAAAGTCAAAATGCTCATGAAAGGTAAGTATTTTGAATTGATTCAAGACATTGAGGTAGCCACCACAGGGCAGCTAAATACACTCATGAAACAGGACTTCCAGAACTATTCAGAAAGCAGGAAGAATGGTCGGTTGGTGTGTTCCAAACAAGGGGAGTATTGTAAAGGGGTGGCCATGTATCTTTACTGAAATAAACATTTTTAAAAATTTAATCCTTCCCTATATATTGCACTCACACCTAGGATAATCATCAACCATGGATGTTTGTGTCCAGGACTGTGCACTGTGCC